ATTCATGCATTCACACGTTAACCCGGGCGAGCATTTGTCAGGATGCTTCCTGACCAGAGGGCCTGTTCTGCTCTGATAGGTGCCATCCATCAGCACTGTCTGACCGCTGAGCATGCCCATATCTGTTAATGCCCCCTCCATCGTGTGAGGCGTAGCAGCCTGTACCTAGCAATATCGTGAGGTTGCGCATGCATCCGCACCGCAATCTGGCAAAAGCTGTAAAGTTGTCAGCGAGGATTAAAACAGCTGGAACGACGCAATCTGCAGTCAGGGTGATATACTCGGTGTGTAAAACGTAACGCGAGTTCGAGCAGACATATCATGGCGATCCGCACAAAAATCAGCATCTATAATCGTGTCTGCAAAACAAACTGTTTCTTTCTCTCGTTGAGGCGCCAACTTCATTAGTATCCATAAAGCACGCAGCTCATTAATGAATGTCATTAAGACAGGCGGCGAGGCGCTGGGTGGGTGCCAACAAGACGACTGCTGGGTGGCTCGCAGGGAAGAGGATGAGCCCGGGCCAGCAGAGATGCAGCTGCTTCTCTCCCGTCTGGTTCCCGGGAGACGTGGAGACAGGCAGTTTGAGAATGTAGCCAGGAGGGGGGAGGTCTCAACTTGAGATGGGGGCGAAGGGTCAAGCTTACTAGGTGGCTGCGGGATGTGGGCGTTGCAGGCGTGCGCCATCTGAATGCTGCCGCCATTTTGAAGGGTAAAAAGGAGCGAGTCGCCATTTTGAAGCGCTCAGCATCGGGGGAGAATTGGACTTTAAGGCATGACAGAGACATCTCAGACGTCTCCTCTGGTTGGCTTTGTCTTTTCTCACATGCACAGAGAGCACGGTCGTGTTTATCCTTCCCGGTTATTCAGCTACCTAGTAAATCTTAGCATTAGCGAGATCACATTTTAGAAGATTCGCAGAGATTCATGTGACTGAAGACTGGGAATGGGATGAAAGCGTAACATCCAATGGGGTAGTTGGGGCAACGCGCCCGGACCAAGAAGGTAGGAGGGCCCTGCACATCACAGAGAATGCTTCTATCCACGGTATCATGCTAAGGCGCCCAGAACCAAAGCCTGACTTTAATATACACTTTCCTTATTAATTCAGTTTTAGGCGTGCAATTATTTGCTCAGTCATTTTGATTCTGATTGTTTTAAACATTTGATTAAAACAGGCATCTTTCCTGAATTTCCTGATTTGCGTTTCCCGGCCTTGTTCGCTGCCATTTGTACAAAAAAGTCTCCTATGCAACAATTTGTTGTTCAGTGAGCATCTTTTAAAGCAGTTAGCTGGCGCGGCGGCAATTTTAAATGATGTTTTGCAAGAAACGCATTGCTCATAAGGAAGAATGAGAGAAGAGAGTAGGGTGAGAACGCTGCTGGGATTTAAGCAGTACTATCAGTGACTTTGCCAAGCACACCGTTCTCCAGATTATGATGTGGGTCTGATGGGTGAGTATTTTGACTGGTTCTGTGGAGGATTGAAACATTGTTGCCACTTATATGTTGAAAATGTGCACTCACAATATGTGTTTATGATGCATGTAGAAGCCAGAGTTATTATGCCTCTGAATGGGATTAAAGGCCAATGAGTTCCCAAACAACAACCTTTTGAAACTTCAGCCTTCATTTTGTTACATTTACCTGAAATCTTCAGATGTCCTCATGTTGACAATTCACGTATACGGTGTAATGCTTGATAGAGCACTCAAAGCCACCTTTGGAGTTTTTCCTGATGCAGTAAACCCACTGCATCAGTTACCTGGATAAGCTAAAATCTGTTTTGTGGTGCAGGCATCAGGTTGTGTTTTCCTTTTGTGAGTAGTTTGTGTTCTAAAAGAAACCCCTTTTAGAACACAAACTACTCACAAAAGGAAAACACAACCTGATGCCTGCACCACAAAACAGATTTTAGCTTATCCAGGTAACTTCAGGGCCTGGGTTTTCTCTGCTATGAAGGTGGCAAACTTCCAACCCGGGTCAATTACCATGCTGTGAAAAGTAATCAGTAACTAATTACTGATTACTTCCCCCAAAAAGTAATCCGTTACTTTACTGATTACTTATTTTCAAAAGATAATTAATTACTTAGTTACTTTTTAAAAACACGATTTACAACCTGAATAGGTGATAAAGCGATAGATCTTTCAGCCCAATTCTACTTTTTCTGCATAATCCATCATACAAAATGTAATCAAATGGAAAAGTCTCTTTTTAAACTTGTTTTATTAGTTTTAATCTTTTAACTTTATGCATCAAGCAAAAATTTAATTATATGCAACATTCTCTGACTTGAATAAATTAGTTTAACATTTAAACCTATTTTCTGCACATTCCAGCACATAAAATAAAATATTTTTTGTGTTTACACTCACTCTTTCAAATAGATGCAAGTAAAACACAGCAGAAAATAAATAAAGTCAAAGACTCAGCGGTCCTGTTGCTCTATTTTCACCTGTAAAGCAGGACTGCGGTAGGCGGAGGTTTACCCTGGTGCAGGTGTGCCGCGGTCAGTTGAAGAATCCGCGAGTTTCTCTGTGATTTCCCATTACGTCGTGCGCACTCGGTGCTTGCTTGGAAGTTTAGGGGTTTTTTTCGCTGTAAAAAGAAGTTTTCTTCCCACGCACAACGGACACTAATGTTTTTGTCACTTTTTATGGAATCAAACTCAAAGTAAGGTCAGTACTTCCACGCTTTAAACGCTGCACGCTCATACTCTCTCCCGCACTCGATATGTGATCCATTGTTGATCTGCACACAGCTGTTGTCACGAACGTCGCACTCGCTTACGTCACTGTCATGAGACATTCTCGCAAAAAAAATCACGGTTTTAGTAACGCAGTAACGCAGCGTTCCTACGGGAAAGTAACGGTAATCTAATTACCGCTTTTGCAATAGTAATCCCTTACTTTACTCGTTACCTGAAAAAGTAATCAGATTACAGTAACCTCTCAGACCTCTGTGGGTGCAAGGAGGGTCTAAAGCTTTTTACTACAATCTAAAGTCTTTGTTTCCCTGCTGAGGGTGAGTAAGAAATAAAAACTGTGTTTGATCAGTTATTCTTTTGTTGTAATGATGCTTCTTGGGAATAAATCTCATACCTCTGGAAAGCCTCTTTATTTCCTCTTGAATGGTGCCTCATTTGCAAGGAAAATGCATTTGTGGCGGAAAACAGCTTCTGCGACTGAGTGTTGTTCTGAGCTTCAGGTGCCGACAATCATCTAGTCTAGACAATCTCTGGCCTCACAGGCCTGCCACGACTGCTCTTCACCGTCAGGCCCGTTTGCACTGGTGTCGGCAACATGTACACTGGAACGTGAACATGTGGAGGAACGTTATGCTCAGCAGTAAGTCCAGATTCTGCTGCAGTTGGATCATGGAGTTTAAGTGTGAAGATTGCCAACTGTGCACAGATAGGTAACAGTTTTTGGTGTAGGCAGTGTGATGGAGAGATGCTGCAACTTCCTTACTGGAAGAACGAGTTATCATTAAAGGCTTCAAATCTCCACAGTCTAGGACTGTACCGTTCATGCCATCCTGGTTGAAGAAGCCATCCCACAGCAGTGTATGACCAAGCTGCTGACCAGCATGAGGCAGAGGTAGGAGGCTGCTGTGGGCATGTATGGTTCTTCCACATGTTACTGAGGCATCTCTTTGTTAACTGAATAACTTGTTAAATTTCCAAGATGTCTTGTTTTGTCAGACTTCGATCCTCACATGCAATAAACTACACCAAACAAGAGTTAGTAGCAGAATAAGCTGTTTGGCAAGAGAAGATTTGGCAGATTTTTCCATGGGTGTAACCCACAAATGCATTTTCCTTATAAATGTGGCAACACTTACGGGGAAATAAACAGGCTTTCCCAGAGTGTAAGATTTATTGCCAGGAAGCATTGTTAGAACAAAGACACAAATTTCCTTATTTTTTGTGCTGTGTTTAGATTCCTTGATTTTTTCCCCCCTGTTGGCTGCAAACTTTTTCATTGTTCTATAAGCATCAATATGTGATCCTAAAACTGGACATTTACAACAAAAAACCAAAACAAAACGTGTTAAATCTGTTATTACATTTATTCTCTACTTGCTCTCAGCATACTGAAGACCACCAAAGACCTGTTGTTCAATCAAATACTGAATTAAAATCCATCAGATCCCCAGCCACATCTGATGGCTGGGGATCTGATATTATAACAAGAGTTATAGTATTGATAAGTCTGTTAACTTAAACAGATTGTCTGTATTTTGCTTGAGCTCTTCACATTTTTCTTATAGCCTCTCTGTGGCCACTGCACTACTTCTTCCTGGAGCCTTCACCCAGCACTCTTAGATCAGCACCCATCTGTCTTTGAACCACAGCGGCTGGCCAAAAAAAAAGTCACCTCTTGGCTTTAACTAAGGAAATAGTGTCTTCCATGGGACCGAAGGTCTAGGTTCATCAACTGACGACACAGGCATATTCCAAGCTGTCACAGCTGATGAGCTGCAAATGAAGCTTCAGTTTAGACCTGAGAGTCACTGAAGTTCCCTCTGGGCCGATTCCACTGGCGTCAAGTCCTTCAAAAGGAATCAAAGTAAATATTTTACTTGACACGAGTCTGTTTGCCGCGTTTACATTCTCTTGCTGCTTCAATACCTCAGGGCGCTGACGTCTGCACATACCCTCACTGATCCCGAAGGTCTCGCCTTCTCCAATGTCGTGCCGGGGAAGAAAAGATGCACTCATGCGTTCAAGTAATTAGCACTAATCAGCTTTGCACTGACCTAGTAGGCAGCCATATTGATTTCAGGGGCTAATCAAGAAGACGTTTAATGACACGGCAATTAAAGTGCTCCAGTAAGTGAATTACACCTGCAATTAAATGCTATGGAAAAGCCATTGTGGGAGAAAATTATCTAAAATGTCATCAGTGTATACATTTAAACGTTAAGGAGTGAGTTCTTTCGCTGACTGGACTTCTTCTAGGCATTGTAAAAATATAAGAAAAAAAAAAACAATATTTACAACTTCAATCTTTATTTCTTTCAAATAAGACAAAAGAAAATTTGTTATCAATAATACAAGTACAAAAATGTATCAGAACACAGACGAATATACAGGACAGAGCATGACAGTGAGAGCTTAGGAAGTAATATGTGGATGAAAGAAAGATCCTCGGTACATGATGGGAGGAAAAACAAAGTGGGCTGGTCAGTGGAAGACTAGATTAAAAAAAAGAAAAAAAAAAAGAATTTAAGGGGACTGGAAAACGTCTAAATGTAGTCAGCCTGGCACCAACAACCGTGCTCTTTCCAGTTTTGGCCAACATGCTATGAAAAAGCACAAAAACCCTCCAATAAATAAGGCGCCATGACGGGCCCAAAGCAGGGGAAGTGTGTGTGTTACTAATCTGAATATATGGACTACAACTGACGGCGTTCACATTTTATATCGTGCATAAATACTTTATCTTAAATCACTCAAGATATTTCTATTCATAAACAATGACATTTATAAGTGGGAATTAAAAACAACTTTTAAAGAGAAACACGAGCTGCGACAGAAAAGTTAAGTCAAGCGTATGAGGTGCTCTCTGATAACCCTTTTTTGGGAGTGGGGGGGGGAGGGGTTAACTAAGGGGGAGAGAGCTGAGTGAAGCTGCACTGCTCACACTTTACATTACTGTGTGTTACATGTTGGCAAAGCGCTGCCTGGCCCTTCTCCAACATGCTTTATGCAGTGATCAAGTGCAAGTATCATCACTTTTCACACGTCGCTATAAGTGTGTGCTTAGAGGAAAAAACAAAACTGTGGCCCACATTCCTACAGGCGCTGCTAAAAACAAAACACCAAAATCTGCAAAAAGAAAAGTGGACGAGTTTAATATGTTACGTTTTAAGGCACTTCAGTGTCAGTTCGTTCGGTTTGGTGGAAGCTGAAATTTTGGCACCACAACTATTAACTGTAAGCAGGTAAAAATCCCTCTCTCGGTCAGCGATACTGAGGGGATTTATTCATGAAGCAATAAACTGACATAAACCGTCCATTCAGCCACCAAAAGTCACCGATAATGAAGTCCCTCTGGCAGGCGTTTGAGTTTTTCGCACCCTGTGAGGTGGGGGAGGAGGTTTGGAGTGGAGTGGGTTGGAGTGAAGTTGAAGGACTGTTGCTGAACATCAGAGTCTCAGAACAAACGAGTTACGCTGTGATGGCGGCAGGCGGCGTCTACATCTCGTGGGCGGTGAGATGATGTTCTGGGATACCGTTGGCATGAGCCACCATCGTGTTATTCTCATTGAGGCGCCTCACGCGATACATTTCATAGTGGATGCTGCTGGTGATGTCCTTAATGTTCTGCATGTGGGTCCTACAAATAAAAACACACACACGGTGGCATCACAGAAGTGTCCGTCCATCTCAAACCATCGCAGTTTTTACATTTTCTACTCAACCACCTTAAAATTTAGGGTACAAAGTGTGGACACATATAATTACTGCTGTAAAAATCACACACCTTTGTATATATGGATTTTTAAAGAGGCTCGTCCACACACTGAGAAGTTGTTTAAATGAACGAGGATCTCAAAAACTTGAAAAACTGAAGTTTCCAATGGTCTTTCTCGATGTATTAAAGGGCGATTTTATTCTGTTCTATATAAACTGAATCTGGATTTGCAGTTTCAGATGATGAGCTGGTCAAAATTTATATTAACAAACTGAAGCAGTCTCATTCTTGAACACAAACACACTACCTAAAACACCAAAAAATACAACTACAGACCATTTCTACATGGCATATAGAGACAGTGAAACCAATTCTCTACGTTTCACTCATCCTAAGAACTGCAATGTTCGAGCACACAACAGGAAACTATGGTCACTTTATCTCGAGTTTGAAAATAAAAACTACATTTACTTTAACATGCTGACTGGAAACATCCTCCTGCTCCTTTGTGTCCTTTATTTTGCCTTACAATAACCTCAAACGGTTTTGAATCCACCTTGATCCAGCTGTAAACTACCAGCACACTTGCAGTGTCAGACAGAAACCGCTCAAAACGTGTCTTTAACTGTTGTGTGTGTCTGACTTGAATCACTCCAGCTGTCTTTACAGACAACAGCTCATGGTTTTTTTGCACTTTGTGCCTGTAAACATGTCTCATATCAGTTTTTCTCTCTGCAAATTTGCGTTTCTGCTTTTACTGCACTGGGACTGTGATCACTATAAAACAGGTGGATTCACTGAAGAAGGACGCCTCTTGTCAATATTAACGCATCATCATGATCACTGCGATTAAAATTTTTTTTACGCCATTAACCAATCAGGAGCGCAGAATGGACAAACTTTGGACAAACTGCCCGAATTGCGTTGACAGAGACATTTCAGGGATTTTGCGTCATTCTGCGCTCCAGATGGGCTAATTGCAGGATAATGGATAAATCCATGTTAACGCATTAACACTGGCAGCTCTATTAAAAACACTTACATATTCATTCCTATTGCTACTACATACATGTGGCACATGTGATTCATGAGACTGATCAACCACATGCAGATTCAGTCTCCCTCTCTGTGTCTAAAATTACAAAAATCCCTTTATTTATGATGAATCTGTGCCAGATCCTCATCTGGCATAAACCTGTGGACTTGCAGACTAGTAGACAACATGCACTCACCTGATGAGGAGATCCCGTAAATAGGCAAACTCACAGTGGGCTATGTTCTCAACTGCAGAGAGAGAAGCTTTGAGTTAGAAATAATCAAAGGGGAGTTAAAACAGGTGCTAACAGGCTGCAGAAGCTTCATGAATAGCTGGTGCTGAGATTCTTTAAGAGTCCAGCAGGTGGAGTCAGTGATCCTAGTGTGATTGCTCCATGCAGCAGGCCATCTTGCCCTCACCTGCTGCAGCTTTCATCCACTTTGAGTATTTTCTGAGGAGATTAACTGCATCAGAATTTCCCAGTGATGTGTGCCTGTGTGTGTCAGCACAGGCACACTCTGCAGGAAATTAAACTTCCTTATGAGACACTTGATAAAGGGGTGGGGCCTCCTGTCTGGAGTGGCTAACATAATTAAATATTGAAAGTCCGATCCTGCAGTCAAAAACAATGTGACCATAAAGTCGTATGACACTAATGATGACCAGTTTCCTTCAGCTGCTGGAGGAAACTGGAATTAACTCATTCACTGCCATTGACGTCTATAGCCGTCAATGGCAGTGAATGAGTCAATGGGTTTAACTCATTCACTGCCAATGGCTGGCAGTGAATGAGTTAAAAGTGACTAAACTTACACATTTTCTCTGCTCAGTGCATATCCAATGTGAGGATTCAGCAGACATACTCTTTGTATGGGAATGAGAGAGGTTGGGACACCAAGTAAACAATCAGGCCTCTTCATAGCGACTGTCTGGTGGAGGCCTGAGTCAGCTACATGGCACACGACTGCTGTCTGGAGAGCTGAATGGAGCATTGTTGACACTCTGTGACCAGCTGACTCCCAGAAACCCTCCCATCTTTTTTTCCCCCTTTTCTTTTTTGCTAAAAGTGCATCATTAATATAAATACAAACGAGAGTTGTACCTTCAATGGTTCCCCACTTGGTCTTCCTCCCCAGCAACCTCCTGCCGTTGACCTGGTACTCCTGATCACTTCCCACCACAGCAAATGGGATCATCTCCTGTTCAAAAGGTTAAAAGTAAACGGCTATTAGAGTTAGAAATCCTTACAGAATGGATTTCAGATAGAGCCCAAAGTCCTGCTTGGTGATGCTGCTGCCCTTACCCTGATCTTTTCATTGATCATTCGGTCCTCTGCGTCCTCATCAAATTCCTTCTGTGGGTATACGTCAATCCCATTGGCTCGCAGCTCTTCCCTGATCTGGTTAGAGCATGTTCAAAAACACACACACACACACACACACACACACACACACACCACAAGTCTCTTAATCTCTGGACTAATTAGGCGGCTGTTCTTGATGTATCCTTCTGAGAGATCAAACAATTGTACCTAAATATGCACAGGATGCAGATTAAGGTTGCATTAACGCTAATCTATGCCAAAAGTTTGGGCTTAGTCGCTAACTGCAACAAACAAAACGCAAAACCCTCACAGGATGTACGCCTAAACCTGTGCGCACACAGAGTGTGTTAATGAGGGAAAGGGAAATCCTGAGATCCTTGAAAACAAAGCCAATAAAAACCTCATAAAGGGGTCAGCTGTTTAAAAAAAGTAAAGGCAAGCAGAGAGCAAAAGGGTAAAATAATATAGGGATACTTCAGAGAAGTTGCAATGCCACTAAAATCTAATAGATGTTACCTTCTTTTTGAAGAAGTCTCTCTCCTCCAGCGTGAGTGTATCTGCCTTGGCGATGACTGGGACGATGTTGACCACTTTACTCAGACGTCTCATGAATTCGACATCAAGAGGCCGAAGACTGAGGAGACAACATGAGAGAACCGGGAGGAAGACATTAGATTTAAGAACAAAAGCACAGGAAATTGTAACGCAAAGCTCTCGCACCAGAGGGCAGATGTTCCTAAGAAACGTCCCAGATGGAGGAACATTTACAGTTCCAACTTCTTATCATGCACCCATCATTACACAGAGTGTGTGAACAGCTGCTTGATATAGTTAGGGGAAGCAGCTAAGGCCTTTCCCGCAGTTTGAGAAAGCATCTGCATGTGGTTAGAGCAGCGGATTCTGGCCTGGCTAACGACTCTTTCACACAGGCTGCTCGTTGTCAACAACAAGGCTTGTGCACTCGAGAAAGCGCACGCTGAGAAAGACAAAAGTGCAGAATTGATTGCATGCACCCAGACACACACAGAGTCTCTGTCTCTTGCGTCCTTCCTGCCTCTCCCCCATTAGGCTTTTTAAGGCAAGCCTGGAGCAGCTGCTGGCCGGGCCATGTGACATCTGCAGTGTTGGATCAACATGAAACGCTGCTTGCTGGAGATGGGGGGGGGCATTCACACCAGGCCCCTGCCTGAGTAAAGACATGCCATGAGACAAAAATTAATAGAGGTGCAGCATTTGCTCTGTTATCAGTTGTGTCTTTGTGTGCGTGCTCCAAAGGGGATGACAGTCCACAGCTGCTTCAACATTTTCCCAAGACCAGTCGCTGCACTCGACTCGAGTTACACCAATGGAAAAAAAAAAAAGGAATATAAAAGAAACTATGAGCTGCATGGTGAATTATCATGTGTTCACCGAACGCCTAATTCCTTCTGCTAGTATACCCAGACCCCCTGAGCTCCGATCGGTGCAGGTCTGAACCAAGAGAGCGCTGAGAGGGAGAGTAAACCGGACGGTTCGATGAGAGCCAGATGTGTGGGCCTGTGAGAGGTCCAGGGAAAAACTTAGGATACTGAGCTGCTTCGGGGCCTGGCGAGAGCAGCCCATGTCTCCAGAGTGTGTGGGCCGGATAGAGACTCCTTGTGTGTGTTCAATAAGAGGGGGTAACAAGGCAGAGAGATCTGCTTCACATTTAAAAAGTTAAGAACAAACAAAGACTGCCTATACCAATATATGCTGACATGCACAGGCAAAGCACAGCGTTGCTGTCTGTAACAACAGCAGTTATTTAAATTCCAGTTGATGTAATTGTTTCGTATTGTCACCAAGTCAGACTTTTAGAAAACACAATGTCTGTTTACAAGAAAACTACAGAGCATAAAGAACAGCTTGTGTGACAGGAATCAGCACTGATGTTTTTTTAGATGTGTCTTTTTGAGATTTAAAACTACGACTGTGGTGTGTCATTACCAATGTCCAGTTGGGGGGATGAAGTATATGCAGCAGTGGACTCTGGAGTCTGGGATCCTTTTCTTCCTGTTGATATTGATTTCCTCCTGCAGGTACGCCTCGTACTGATCATTAATGAACTTCATGATGGGCTGCCAGCTATGCCATGGTGGAGAAAGATAATTGAAGAGGGAGAAGGAGAGAAGAGGGAGGGGAAAGAAGGGTAAGGGGGTGGAAAAGGAAGAGAAGGGACAGATCAGTAAAATGAGGAAGAGGAGGGGCTCAGGCAGACAAAGAAGAGGAGGAAGGACAATGATAGAGATCAGGTAAAGTAAGAAAGCAGGAAAAGCAAGAATAAAGGGGAGGACATCTGGTTAGAAACTCTTGTCATTATGAACTCTTATAATGCTTATATGGTTGTTGCAGCAATGTTAAGTTGTAGCCTACCAGTTCTCATTGTTGATCTGGTCTCCAAAGCCTGGTGTGTCAATGACTGTCAGCTTCATTCTTACACCCTTCTCCTCGATGTCTGCAAACAAAAGCACATAAGAACACTGAGAGCCAGCACAGCAGCAAACTGCTGTAACACAGACAAGCAGTGAGAATGCAGATGGGCATAAGCCAGTTGTCGTGAGTTGTACCGTGACTGATGGACTTGATTTCCACTGTTTTGGGAATCTTCTCCTGGGCTGTAGCCAGCACAGACTTACGGCTGACTTTAGACTTGAACAGCGTGTTCATCAGAGTAGACTTTCCCAGGCCGCTTTGTCCTATAAGCAAAAAACAAACAAAAAAATGACAGGCAATGAGAAAAAAAACACTTCGACAGTGACTGCTTACACAGTGGGGAGCCAACGGTTTACACAATGGTGCCATAATAAACCCAAACAAGATTCTATAAAATGACCCTGCTTCACTCCAACAATTTCAGAAGCTGTGACACCTGTCTGCTCAAACACTGCCAACAAAGCACACCAGTTTACTTCATATGCAGTAAGTGATGAGAAAAAGGGGCAGCTGCAATGAGCCAACAGCAGGACAGGACAAGCAACAGCCACAACTGCTATGCCTATGGTTGTCTTTTGTCATCTGCTATACAAGTCTCCAACGATTGCATGTGCACAAGAGTTTGGGCGTTTCCCCTGTCTAATTTCTCCAGCTCTTTTCTCTCAGCTGCCTCTCTCAACAAGTCTCATCCCGTGGATGTGGGATGAGATCCAGTCCCTCCGTTGTAATTGCAGCTTGTCATAGTAGTCCCCGTTTTGCTCTGCAGCCTCGATGAGTTTGGCTGATTTGTAACCAGAACCTGCAGCAGGTGGAGAGTTTCCTGGCAGAACGAGATCTAGCGTCTAAAGCTGAAATCCATGACTGTTTATTTGGAGTATGTTTGACTGCGGGAATTCTTCTTGGGAAGCAGCTTAATGACATTGTGGGCCACCACAACCGCAACATCAACCTCTGGGAAAAATGGCACAGGAAAGGCTGGGGCTAGATGACAAGCAGAGACTGAACTGAAAAAAATAAAATAAAATGAGCAAAGGGAGTGTTCACTAGTAAATTAACTGTGAATGGTGGTGCTGTTTTGGATGGAGGTTAGTTTTACTTTGGTATCCTGTGGAGGCAGCAGCATATGAAACACTAAAGCTTTTTTTTAATAGCCCTAAAATGCTAATACGACATATGGCACTTATGAGCCACTCAAAATAACAGCAGGGGAAATAGCATGACTGCAACAGCCACACCCAGAAATACACAAATGTAACTCCTTCTTTAATCTTATAACTACCAGTTCAAGACACTTTCTGATCAGATAACAACACAGATGCTCTTGTTTTGCTACAGTAAGAGGATAAAATGCTCCCCCATCCGGGCAAATTGAAACAGACTTAATTTATCAGCTGTCTGTCTATATGGATGAGACCCCCTGTGACCCTTGGACCTCATGCTAACATCACCACGGGTTAATGAAGAGCTGTTTGGAGGGGCCCACTGGGAAATGACCATTCAAAGTTCAACCTCAGGTTAAGTCAACATTCAGAACTTTGATTTATGGATATGCACTCGCATGCACAGCAGCACACACTCCACGCAAACACGGATTCACAGAACAAATATGAAGCTCAACAGCTGGAAGTTAAAGGACTCAAAAGTCCACGTGGAAATTAGCATTTTATCTGCTACAGTGCTTTGGCAGTACTAATGCCACTGTGAGCCGTGTCCAAACTCGCTCCAACAGCTGCTTTCTCCAAAGTGTCTGCATCCATCATCCTACCGCTAACAACCATCACAAAACAGTGAGGTGGTGCCAAAATCCCACAAGTGCTTTCTGTATGAGGTCAAAGTCCTACAGATGCTTTTTAAACTGTTAAATTGTGTCTGGCAGCAAACATTTTCACAAGAAAAAGCAAACAAGCTGGAAGGAATTTTTTTAAAAATGACACTCAAAGTTATCACAATTCATTATCTTACCAAAAAATTTGTTCTTCTCTTTCTATCGTCTTGCTATCCTGTTTGGATGCAGGGGTTTCCCCCCGGGTGTCCTCTTCCTTTATAGACAAGGAAGTAAATCCACCTGCTCTGTTAGTTTTAAACTGTTAGATTGTAGCTACTGCACCTGGGCCTAAGCATGACTGAGTCTTATGTTTTATAATCAGTCCATTATCACTCCATTTGTTTAACAGATGAGAATTAAAATAATGAAAATCCAGTGAAAATGCGTTTTTTTTTGTTGATTTTCGTTTCACTTTTGCTACAATTTTTGGAGGGGAGCATAAAGTCCTCTATGCAGGTAAAAACCATCAGTTATAAAGATGCCAAACCAATTATCCAGTTCTTAAAAACCATCAATTGTTCCTACATTGTGATACAGTTAAATAATTTCACCTTGATATTTAAAAAAAAAAAAAAGACACCCAAAAAACCATGGAAACCAGTTTTGTTTAGTTGTGTTTACCCACTCAGGCCTGGGGCTGCTTTCAAGCACATTTTTTTTATTTGAGGATGAGACAGACCATGTGTGGAGGCGACATGCAGGAGACGTAAAGCAGTGAGATTGGGTGGGCTCGATGGTGGCCTGTTTGATCCTGAGGTGTGTAATTAGCTCCTATTTTAAAGGTGTCTGATCACAGTGATGAGTATGCCCAATTAAAAAAAACAAAATAAAAGAAAAAAGCTTCAGGCTTCTATTTAAACTTGATTAGAGAGAAAAGCATCATGACTCAGTCTCAGCTCTAGTTATACATAACTGAGGTTATTGTGAGATTTAAGTGTATACAACAATCAATGCAACCACAAAACCACGTGCAGTAAAAGTGGTGTCCTTTCAGTCATTTCTGTATATTAACACAGAAGGCCACACTTTTGAGTAAAGATGGGAAATATTATTTCAACCTGAACATTTGCTAGCAGTAGTTATCCACAGTGAAGCACCAGCTCAAAAGTCTTACTCAAAGGCAACTCCTGGAATTACTTCTAATGCTTCACATGCATTTCTTTCAATGTGTGAGTGCATAAGCAGCCAAAGATTTGATCACTGCAATGCTATGTGACCGACAACTACTGTGCGAACCAAATCTGGGTATTTTAGTGAGTGTAAACAGGCTCTGCTTACCCACAACCATAATGTTGAGCTCAAAACCCTGCTTCATGGCTTTCCTCCTCATCTGCTCCAGAATGGCATCGATACCCACATAGCTGAAGTCCAACATGGGGCCGCCAGCCTTCTCCCCATACAGTCCACCCACTGCTGGGGACACCATAGCATCAGGCACCACCGCCTCAGACATGGTACTGCTGCTGTAGCTGGAAAACACTTCAGGTCCTGATGTAACACAAACAGAAACAGAGAAGGCTTGAGTTACTCACAAGTATAATATGGAAGAAGCAATAACAGATAAATGACGCATCTGTGAAAACAGGTACTGCAAGTAAAATGATAGAGAGGTTTTTTAAAAAACACAAAACAAAACAAAATGAGGACTTTTTACAAGAATTTCAAGATTCTTGGTTCCTTGGAAATCCATAAGAGGAAGTAATGTACTGCACCAAACTGTCATAGTGCTGAAATATGTAATGATTGATAACTTCCTGTTATAGAACAAACCAGTTCAGCTAAGCAGCTCTTCAGGTGCTGGCAGTTCAGAAGAAAAGCTATCAGTAGAATTAAACTACAGTAAAATCTGTTAATAACACACATACACATTTGAACATGCTGGTCGGGGATTCCTGCAGTGTCAGAAAAATGCATCCCTGACTGGGAAAACTCGTGTGAACACCCAGTTAAACAACAGCTTGGATGGTTGATTGCACAAAAAACCAAGTTAAAGCTGAAATGGCCTGCGTGTTTGCCTAATAAGGGGAAACTTGATTAATGGTGCAAGTGGCCATGCACATCATTGCATCTTTAATGTTTGGGTTTATTCAACCTGTGATGCCCTTTGTAACTGTTTACAAAGTGCTATTAGTTATTGTTATATCTAGAGGAAAGCTCTGGGATCCATCTTCTAGTGAATGTCTGCACAAAGGTTTCTGATAATCCATCTAATGGTTGTTGTTTATTTCAGTCTGGAACAAATGTGGCGGACTGTCTAGAAGACAGACAGAAAAACAACTAAAAGCACCTCCTGACTTTCAAGGTCCTGGTTGGTCTCATGCCAGAACAGTTTATCAACCCAAAAGTAAAACTATCAGAAAGTTCGCTCTGTGGAATTAGAGTAGTTTAAAATTGGCAGAACGACATCTCTTCACTTTGTTTTTGTAATGATTAACTTCATGTCCTTCTGTGAAATGCCTGCAGATGTTTGTCTAATCACAAGAGAAATATTAAACTTTTAATAAGTTCACTGAGGTCTGCGCATGCCAAAGTCACCGTACCTCTCGAGCTGTGTGACAAATTTACACGACGACAGTGTTTATGTCCGTGTGTCATTAGATACACAGTCCATGTACCATGCTACCCCTCGCAAGGCCTCCCTTTCCCTTGCTCTCTACAGTGCAGTGTTACTGTCCTGCTAATGTGAGAGTGGAAAAGAGTGAGACTGGTGAGGTTGAAACCTGATCCACCCACAGCTAACCTGGCTAACACACACAAAAGCCCTGAGTACATGCTTGACTTTGTGCCTTTAAACATGCTGGTTGCCTTGACTTCACACACTCAGAGTTTCCTCTGTTTGAGCGCACAGCTGATCTGTACGTACACATGCAAATATCAGCCCCTGGACTGCCTGCCAAGAGTTTAACAGCTTTTGGATTCCAGCGAATACTCGACCTGTTACAAGGAGAAAATAGTCCAGACAGCAGGCCAGTTCACCCGTATCACTCTGGGAAATAAATCAACAGGCTGGTAGAAAAGTCAACACACTTCAAACTGGCACTGCACTGATTAATGGAGGAAGAAGAAAAATCTGAGGAATGGCAGTGCTGTAGAAGCTCAAAACTAGCTCATGTTAACACGTTAAGTCTTGCTTTTATAATATGCTCCATTGTGTGTGCAGCCATGTGTCATAGAGACCCACCTATGGAAGCAGCTCTCCTGGCCTCTTCACCACTTCCTCATCCTGTTCCAAAAGTCAGTCAGCAACTTACAGCGACTCACTGCCCTCCACCTCCCCTCTGCACCTCCCCTGTTTCGCTCATGTCTTTTTCCCCTCAGCCTCACCCTTTCCTCCCTGCTCACACTGATCCTCCCTCATCGGTGTTGCCTATTGCACACCAACTCTTAGTTTTCTTGTATCTCTCCTGTTTGAGCCCCTCCTCCTTTCTGCTACTCATTTGGCTTTTAGCTTTGTTATTAAATGTGCTGGATAATACAAAACCTCCATCCTCTTCTTCTCTACACCATGTATTTTCCCTCTGAAATCCCTTGCTGATTTTTTCCTGCGACAGCTTTGTGCTGTAAACAGAGATGTTTGCCAGGAGTTAGGACACTGTGGCAACCAGGGCTCCAACAACAGAGCTTCAAAGGCATGATACCAGGGAAAGCATCAAAGGAAAGAGACATGAACTGAACAAGATGGAATACTTAACATATCATCCAACAGCAGCTATACCTGCAAAGCACTAAAATATAATGATGAGAAGATCATCTGTACAAGCTTAATCTTTTGTTGGAGCTGAAACATTTAATAGATGGTGGATTGTCAGTTACTTGGATACCTGTTTAATCTAATCCAAAGGCTTTACTGTCAGGACTCGTGCACAACCATGAGCTGAGCATCGACCCATTTTCGAAGGGCATAACACGGGATAAAAGAAATTTGTTCTTTTTATTGCAACTGTAGCTCTTACTTCTGCGGTCCCAGCACAGTCCTCATTCCCGGCCTCTGAGCTTAAACACTTTTCTCCAGTTTGGTATGCACACTTCTCATTTTGTGATCAGTGTGGGTTTAAAACAGGAAGAAAAAGTAGGTTTTATGGAGGTTTTTGGTTCTGTGTAACCTTTGTGGAAACAATCAATTACAGTATTTGGTCTGAGGACTTCCTGAAATGAGCCTCATTTCAGAACAATGCTCAGCACCTCTGCAGCATGTCTGTTCTGTTTAATGTTCAGTTACTATTTGCTCATCTTCCACTGTGGGTGGGAATTACAAAAGCTAAGATACAGAGTGAATGAGAGACGGACAGAAAGAGTTGTTGGTGGTAACTAACTGGTTTCCCAGCCAGGAGCACAAAGGCTCTTCAAAAGATTAACTGTCCTTCATGAAACCAATGTACTGATTTTCTCAAGTCAAAGAAGAATTTAACACCATAAACAACTTGGCAAACATCACAACACCACACAAAAGGAGTCTTGAACCACTACCGTGGGAAACCAAACTCTTCTCTACAATCAAAATGAATCACTTCATTCATGGGTAGGACACCTCTTTAGACCTTTAGCCAACTTTGGTAAACTACAAACCCTACGATGTGGTGAGTGAAGCATCGTATCAGTGGTGCAGAGAGTGTGTCAAAGCATCTGGATACACTGACCATTTATTCACCCTCTGTCATGGTTTTTAGCCAGTAATGGCCTTATAAATGTTAACATTTTTTTTTACCTCCACCTGGAAATGTCTGGCCCTGATGGCTTAACAGCTGTTGGACATTACCTCAAACCTATCAAACACAATGGGCTGACTGAAAAAATTACTGTTGAGTCAAATAGGGATGTAAGGAATGACATATTGTGGGAACCTCAGGTATTTTAATATGTTGTCATGCAAACTGATGGTGTAAATCCTTTGGAGGTGGATTAAATGAGCCTCTCAGATGGCTTCAACCGGCCACAGCCTTTTAAGAATAATTATATTGGGCCGCTTCTCAACTCAGCATTTTATGTTTCCCCCCCACTAGTTTCAAGTCTGATGGGAAATGGGCATGCAAAAGTTACATTTGAGAGAAAATGCGATGACAGTTGTGGAATAGGTTTGCTTATGTTGCTGATCAAACAGCACAAGCACAGTTTGGATGAATCAGATTTGTTTTTCAGTGACAATTAAGGGTCATTTAAAAACTTCAGTTTCCATTGTTGCTTGCTTAGTGGTAATAAATCACCCCTGGATGACTTGCACATTTGCCATGCCATTCCTTAGCTCTACTGCTCCCCCTGCATCATGGACAAACAAAATTTATTTTAGCTATTGGAAAGCAGAGTGACTCACTGTGATGCCGTTTTCAATTACAGGCACTAAAGAGGTTTTCTCTTTTATTGCTTCCAGCGGCATCAGATTGCTTTGCTTTTTTGTAAATATAGCCAGAAGTCTCATCTCTGCAGCAAAGCATTTCAGGGAAAAACAGCAAGACACAAGGAAAAGAAGAAGACCGAAGTGTGGAGAGAAAAAAAAAAAAAAAAAAAAAAAAAAAAAGGCAGACGTGTGCAGATAGGCATGAGATACAGAGGAGAAGCAAAAAGGAAGATGGCTGTCGTTGAGTAGGGGGGAGGTAAACAAGATAAGGTCAGTGAGAGGAGGACAAAGAAAGGCATGCAGAGGGGGAGAAGGAGGGGAGGAAAAAAAAGTGTGGATTGCAGAGATTGTGATTTATTCCAGTTTTGGGCCTGGGGCATTCCTCACTAACTACACACAGGCCTCCAAACTGAGATGCAAATACATTCGAATCCAGCTAAACATCTCCCTGTTCACTGGATGGTCTTTTCAAAAGGCACTAAAACTACAAAGGAGTATGAAGAAAAATGTGACTCTGTCGCCTATGTTTAGATGCAGTGTGGCCAGAACCACTGAGCCATGGCTTAGCTGTCCAGGGTGTTGATCTCAACAGGGTGGTGAGCAGGTCAGAGATCATGTTCCCAGTTTAGGTTGGAAAGAGCTGCACTGAGGTTAGTCCCCTCATGACAAACCTGTGGTTTGACCCTTTGAATAAACTCTGTAGAATTTAGAGGAATCCAGAGAGAGAAAAGGCTGGAAACTTGGAGTGTTTGTTATCTGCAACTCTGATTCACTCAGGGCATCTGTAAAACTGATTGTACAAAATCTTTCCCTTCATCGCTTCACTTTTACAACTGTGTTATACAACATGCAGGCAGTTCCACAGTTTTTCTACTATTTTAATGAGCCATAACGTACACAAATGCTTTCTCTACTAAAGCATTGCACTGAATGATTAAATGCCAGGCTTTAAACAAACACTAAGCTACGGATGATAAGATCCAAACAATTGCTCAAAACCTACAGTCACAAAAACTCCTGTTTTTCAAAGGAAATTAGATTTGTTTTATCCAACGTTACATGAAACGGATCAAGAATGTAGTAAATGACACTTGCTGTCTAATGGGTCCATTCATCACAAAATGATTTATGATTTTTAATAAAACAAACTCTCAGC